CCTATCAGACAGTCTGAGGATACTTGCGGTTGTGAAGGGTCGTTGAGTGAGCCTGCTATGGAGGAGCCGCTGAGTGAAGATGGAGGAGGCAGTCCCAATTCGTTAGGTAGGGTTCCCGAAGTGTAGTAGCTTTGGTTAAGTGGAGCTGGCAGGGCGCACACTCCAGTAGTGGAACGCCGTGCTCAGCTCCTTCCCGGCTTATATATGGTTCAAACAGCTAGGGGGCGGAGACCGATGACGCCAGTGCGTCACGTTATGTTCCACTCTGGAACGCAAGCCAGGATCCTGTTAGCATAGGCGCTGCGCTCCAGGTGGAGCGCAATACGCCGAATCCTTACAGCCTACCAGCAAGCTTTTGATTTTTTTTTTTTTTTAACAACTAAGTGTAACATGATTTACCCCTTCAGGGTTTAGTCTATTATGCAATATGGAATAAATCAATAAAGAAAAACCCAAGGATTGATTTTAAAAATGCTTTATTAAGGAAGTGTCAACAACACTGTTTTGCAAAATGTAAAGGTACTATACAAATTCTTAATACAAAAAGAATAAATTAATGGCAGAATTCTTTTGAAAAATTCTGCAGTTTTTCTACAACATACATATTTTTTTCATTGATTACAGATGAACAGAATAAAAAAAAAAGTAACTTTACATGCTCTATAGTCTTGTTTAGGCGCAACCTAAATTATCAACCCTTTAGCAGACAAAGAAGTGAGCTGTGGTGCAGGCCCAGTTGTCTCCTAAGTGGTGAAGCTCAAATTATATTTTTTTTTTTGCTTTTTTCACAACTTGTATTAAAACTATCAACATTAATATATGTAAAACTTTACACCTAGTTATCTAAGCAGTAACTGGTCATCTTGGTAGCACCTGAAAAAGAGGTTTGCTATTTCCCCCAACTAAAACTAATGCTGGGTGAAGTAAAACCATATCTGGTTTCCCAGCTTCTCTCAACTGCTTGTAAGAAAATAACTTGCCTTACAGTATTTATACACCAGGTAGTCTGGCTATATAAAAACAAAATAGTCCCAATCTAATAATCCAGTAGTATCTTAAAGTATTATAGGAACAGCAAGAGGGATGCATAATTGCTAGTTGCAGATTTTCTTGTTAATTCACAATTTGTCAGTTCTTAAAGGAAACTATAGCAAGGTAACCTGGCATTAGAATGTTTGTTAGCCGACTGTTTTATATGGACATAAGGACTTCTTTAGTAAGAAAGACAAAGAGCAATGTCCAAACTGCGGGAACTTGTAGTTTCCAATTAGAATCAATCACTAATTAGACTTCAAGAAACTGAAATCTAATTGGTGAAGTAGACTACTATCCTTTGCACATGACCAATGTTTTTTGCTCGGGTTTTACTTAATAAGCCTGCATGTTGTTTTGGGCACTGTTATGAAACACTAGTAGTTCTATAAAAATATATCACATTTAAGTGCTTGCTATTATGGTTTGAAAACAAAAAATACTTTTAATATGAACAAAATGAGTCCTAAGCTTTAATATAACGACAATGTAATGCCATCAGATTCTATGGGCCCCAAATATAGGCATTGTTCCTTCTCAAGCCTTCATGACCCTTGATATAGAACAAGTGCACCAATGGTCACTTTAAGGGTTAAATGCTTCCCCCAATGTCACTACCTTAGGTAATACATATCTGAACTGTCCAGATATCTTGTATGCGTTATATCTGTATCTGAAGTTTCTTTTCCATATTATCTACAAGGCAATTTTCAAGTAAATTCATTTAGTTCATCTACGATACTGCTTTCAGTGCAGTAATGTCTGTTGAAAACATTTAGGTAAATGAATGAACTGATCATAGAGATGCAGTACCTGTTTTACAGTACTTCATAAATATGTGCATAATTTCAGATGTCTCAAGTTTTTTTTTTTTGTATGGCCACTTTCCCACATGTGTAAATATAAAGGCCGTTTGGCAGTTATTCAGCATTATTTAAGCTAAAGCAGACCTGTTAGCTGCACAAATTGGTGTAACAAAGCATCACATGTATAGAGACAGTATATAATGTATGTTCGTAGAGCCACATCTTATGTCATGTGTTTACCTTTAAATGTGTGATGTTGCCATCATCTATGTAGATATACAAATTAATGAGTATTTTAGAAAGTAGAAATATCCCATTTACTGTTATCATATCATTTCATATCAGGTCATTTACTTAAACCACCTCCCCTCCCAAAAAAATATTTTGGAGGTGCAGAGGTTCCTGAAGTGTACCACACTCTTATGTCACATATGTAATGTAGTTGAAGAACTACAGGGAAGGACAATCAGAATTTTACCTTCAATTGAAGCTCAATGGTAGACTGTTCACTTTGTGTGATTGGTCTTATTTCGGAGCACTGACTGCTCTGGTACACAAGGCAATATGAGGTAAGAACCAGTGGGTTATGGACATCACAACATATGTAACTGGATTAAGGTAAGGGTCTGTGGCAATGGCATCAGTTAACACTTCTGGGCGAATCCATTGACATGTACATTTGACTTTCAAGCGGGTTTTGCATAGACTTGTAAGGAGGTGCAAAACCCCTTAAAACATGACCAAAAACCTATCATCCCTGGCCCTAAAACTGGCTATTGACAGCGTGAGGGCGGATGTCAGATTCCATTTGAAAGTATTTGGCCTGCTTAATGTACTGTGCACTTTTGATCTCTGTGTGATTAAGGTTAATGATTTCTTAGCAGTGCTTTAGAAATTTACAATTAATTTTGGACTTTGCTTAAATCTAAACTAAAATGTACAACATATGTGCAATATTTGGAGTATTTCAGGAAATGTTTTTAAGGTACAAATGTATTATTTCTTGTTTTTTCTTAGTTTGAACCACAAGATAATGAATGCTATTTTTTTTTAAATACATGTTAAACCTCTGTTATAGCAAGAGTTTATATGTCTTTACTTCTGTTGGTGAGTAACAGGTACCCTACCTATCTTCAAACTATTAGCGTTTGCTTGCTTGTAAACAAAATCAACCTTTTATAATGTCTGTTCATTTCAACAACCATTAAGAGATGGTGTTTTCTTCTACAGGTTCTGATGTCTTACTTCTGAGAAAATACTGCACAAGGCTGTAGGCAGCACCATGATTTTGCATGAACAATGCAGCACCAGTATGTATTGGAGTATAAAATCTGAGATCCTTGAAATCCTTGAAACTGTGACTGTTCCTGATACTTAGAGTAGAACATTCAACTTTAGCGTTTATAAATCTCAGCGACTAACACAATTTCTGATGGTAAAAAAGTCCACAAATGTAGCTAAAAACAAGAGCAGTATTCTGTAATATCCTTCTTTCTAATAAATACACTGATTAGTTTAATTATTGACAATGTTCCTAAATCCTTTGCGAGACTGATTTTCATAAATATCTAAAAAAAATCTTTAGAGATGTGGCCACACAGAACATTGCGTGTGATTCTACCTACCGTATTTATCAGCACTCGTGCCCTATTTCCAGACTTAACATTGGCCATATTTGTTCTTTTTTTTAATCTCGTGTCCTTGAACTAACCAAACTGCTATGCAAATAATCAAGTATTACAAATTTACCAGAACAACCATCCGTGTTAATTGGTTAGCAGGAGCCTATTACAAGCATGTCGTTCTTATAATCATAATCAGTATATCCGGCTTAGAGTCGTTTTAATGATTCTAGTGGTTTTTACAAGTGGAATCATCATTACAACACAGGTTAAACCATAGGCAATTCTACGGCAATTTTTGCAGAGCAGATGTGACCAAAGATTGTCCTGATTGATCCTGGATTTGATAAACTGCTCCAGACTGCACACAACTGACTTGTGTAGTTGATGAAAACTGACCGGAAGTTGTTGTGTTTGTTCCATTGCGCATGTTTGTGGTCTAGCATTCAATACATAAGTTAGTATAATCTTGAAACCATCAAAATCTTTCCGGACCACCTGAATAGTTTGGGGTTTAGACTTTAGTTGAAGGGGCTTATTAAATGAAGGAATAATATTGAAAAAATGTACATGGGTGACTCCCTGTATAAGGCTGGACTTCTACTCAACAAGTACTATGCATCTGTACTTATATTTCAAAATGTATTCTCACCATTCTTGTTACACTGTGGATGTTTTTTTTTATTTAAACTATGGGTCCGAACATTAGAATGTAGGGAATGCACAAGACTAGATTTACACCTACAGAGGTATACCATTTCATCAATAGCAGCAACAGTGACAAATGAGTGGTTTAGGATTATCTATAAACATCTGCAGGCAAAATCCCTTGATGCCTAGTGTACTGCTCAATATTGATGCTAGTGGCAGCTAGGTTAGTGGTTAGTCACCCCAGACTTTCTGCATAATACAGCCACGGGCCCTTGTACCAAAATACCCCCATTCTTCAATAAAAAAATCATCATGGGATTGACACAACAATTATCCCACTATGTGTTGAGTCCTAAAGAGTCAGATCTTTAGACCAAGCAATTTGCAACCCTCCGAATTAATCTTTGGTTAGAATTGAACTGACCACAATTCACAAACAATTAGCCAGTTTTTTAATATCTAAAAAAATAAAAAGTGAATGCAGACATATTTAAACACCGGATTCCCCTGAAAATAAAACAAAAGACTAAAAGAAAAAGCTCAGTTTTACTAGTGCTCTGTTGGCCTAAACATCATCTCTTTGACATTGTTATTTAGTTTCATTTCCTTACAATGATAATATTAGTGAATAAACAGTAAAGATTTTATTCCCGATTAATAGAAAATGACTCCAGCGGAGTATTAAAGAGAGTCTTTCACAGTTTCTCAATATACATAAACAGGAGGCACGTGATAGTCAGTAGTAGCAACGTGGTTCTCCTGGAACAGCTGTATGTTTATAGATGGGGCTTGAACTGGTTTCGTCGCTCGCAGGTTTCAAAATGAAAAGTGCTTGTAGCTGAAGCTGGTGTGGGATGATAGTGCATCTGTGTAAGGCAAATGAATGGCTATACAGAGCAGAATCTAGGTAGTAACTATCGTAGGTCCTGGAAGAAATAATACAAACTGTTGTAAATATATTGTACATAGACCGGTATACAAACAAATATATCATGTCATGTGATATATCTATCACATGACATAGGCACAGATAGCCAGTCAAATTAAACAACCAGTTAAAGTGTATCTATAGCCCAAGCTTTTTTTAGTTTTGAATAGAGTAAGGAAAGATTAGAACTGGCAGGATTCACTACCAACAGGGGCTCAATTGGAAATATTCTTTCACTTCCTGTCTGGTACATAGGTTTCCCCCAGATCAGGAAGTGAGGGAAAATCTTTCTAATAGCAACACAGACAGAAGTAAATATGTTATTTTCTTTTTATTTAAGTAGGGAATGCTGGAAGTACAATTTGTTCTTGTGCGTTTCCTTATTGCAGATTTTCCCTCACTTCTGCTCTGGTAAAAGGTTGTCCCAAGAACCGAAAGTAGGGGAACACTTCCTAATGGAGCTCCGGATAGCAGTGAACCTGACAGGGGTTCTAACTCAGTAGCTTATAAATCTGCAGCTAAATATTATTTTATCATAAAATATTGTTTAGGAGCAGCTTTATAAGCTATTCAGTCTTTGTAATTGAGATCAGATATGAAACTGATAATGAGATTATGTAACATTTATCTCATCATTATTATAAGTACTGCATTTACAGCTGCACTTCACGCAAACTAAATGCACAGCTAAAACATTATATATATCAGAATAGTTGGTTCCTGAAGGATTATGTCACACAATATTAGTACAACTATTTATCAAGGCCAGATTTTCAGTAAAAAAAAAATAAAAAAAGTAATTTCACATAAAAATGTTGGTTTTAGTTCGGCTTTAGTTCTCTTTTAAACTCAATGGGAATCTGCTCACCTGCATTTGATGTGCATTCCAAATGCACATGAAACAGAATACACGAGACTTCAGAGATTTTTAGCTGATCTAGCATTATATCAAGCTTTTTGTATAAGTGTACCTTTAAAAGAGGTATGGGGTAATCTGCATGTAAACTGGATCTCAATTTAGTCCTATGTTATGTCCCAGAGTTGGTTGTCATAGTTTACAGTAGGAGCCACAAGTAGTGACAGAGGTGTGTGGCTTTCACATTTATTTGCAGTCGTGTGTAATTGGAACCCCTGGTTTTATTAAACTGTTCGAAACAGCTTTTAACAGCTGAATGCTGGGTAATGCTGTGCTTGTATAATGACCTGTACCTCCCTTGATAGATATAAATGGATTGAGCTGCATGCCATTTTCATTTTTTACTCTTTTACCTAGTTGTCCAAGTGTGCTGGAAATTGTAAATATTTTGTTTGGCTTAAATCTGCAAAGCAGCAAGCAGAGCCTGCATATGTAATGAGCAAATACGGCTTCCCCATATACATATGTAATCACAAACTAAATACAGAACATTTTTCAAAGCATTATTATCCACTAATACGTTTACTTACAACAAGCTACAAATAACGGACATTTACACACCATACAAACTAATGCTGATAAATGCTTACAGCTAGCTATAATTTATTATTCACTGAATATCAAGCAAGAATGTGCTTTAGTCTGCTCTATAGCACCACGATCATCCATTGAACCATGAATGGGTGTACAAATGAGGTATAAATGATATAGAAGATGGATTTCCATGCACAATGTGACTCGGTCACTTGGATGTGTCATATGCATAATACAATACCTCTATTCATCAGTACTTTGGTGACTTGAAGACTCAGACCCATCCAAAGTGGGTGAGTTTTCTGTTTCATCTCTGAGCAGAGGATAGCAGAGGAAGGAAAAGTAGAGACACAGTGAGGCAGATGTCAATTAGTAACAAGTTAGTACAGCTTGGAAAAGAAGGCCAATAGCAGAATTTTACATAAGTTAGTATTTAGTGAAATTTAATGAAAAGGTCTCTAGATTTAAAGATGAAGAATCTTTCAGACTCCTACAGTGTGGTTGAGCTAATTTCACATAATTAGCTGAACAGACATCACAAGCAAGGTAATTACACACCAAAATCTGGTCCTATGATTCCATTGGAGGCATGGAGATTCCAATTGATAGTATTAGTTGAAGCACATAGCAGGTATCAGAGTTTGTCTTCTAATACCTGCCCTTAGAAGTGCTATCAGGGTAAAGCCATCGGCACAGGCTTTTTTGCTACTGCGGAATGTAGGGGTGCTTTAACTTGCTTTTTCAAGGGGTTTTCCAGACTCAGATGACATAAGTGCATTAGCTTCTGAAAGTTCAACAGACTTATTTAAAAAATGCATTTTTTTAGCTTCCTTCTTGTAGGTAGAGACGAGCCTGGGCTTGGTGCCAACCCAGTTCGCCCAAACCTGCTCAAAATTGTGACTGCCAATCCCTCCTCCTGTGCTAGTATGTGGTGGCAGTTGCTTTAAGACATATAGCTGTGGGGAATGTGCCTCATCGCAAATGATTGGGCTGAGAGGAGAGGATGCCAGTCCACAGTTTTGAGCGGGCTTGTGCAACCAGACTTATCTCTATTTGCAGGCAATACATTTATATCTGCCAAGATGTAGATATGCTGATTGATATACTTTCTATGGATGCACAATTGCTCTCTTGTACAGTATGTAAAGAACACGGCATATCTTTCAGGAAGATTGGAAGGAAGGAAAAATTGGCCACCACGTGTTTAAAAAAAAAAGACAAAATAAATTACGGGGATGTTTATCAAGCAAATTAGTGACACAATTAAACGCAAATCAGACTGCCTCACATTTAGCAAAGTAAATGCTTTTTTGCCTCCCTAGGCACCGGGAAGGGGGGGGGGGATGCGGCATCCCGCCAAGCTCCTGGCAATCAGTGACATCACTGGTTGCCAGGAGCTCAGTGGGATGCTGGCCGGAGCGTCCCAGGTTGCTAAGAGAGGGATGGGGAGATGTGTATGGCTCTTACACATTTCCCTGTACGGCTCTTAGCAACCTGGGACGCTCTGGCCACTCTGTCTGCCTCCCCCACCGAGATGCTGCCTGAGGCAACAGCCTCAGGCTGCCTTATTGTAGGGATGGCCCTGTCCCTACGTCTGGAAACCTGAGCAGCAAACTATGACAGATTTGCAAATGTTTGCAATAGATTTAGCAAAGACAAACAATTAAGACATGGTAAGGGGCAGGTTTCATTTTGGCAAAGTTATACTTTAGAGCAGCAGAGGGAGGAATTCATGATTGTAGATTAATTGTTAGAGAAAACCCGTCCTAAAATCTGCCTCACTCTGGTTTAGTATTACCTTGTTGTTTTGATAGAATTGAGAAATGATATACAGCAAATCTTCAGTTCTGATTGTGTTAGTAGTGCCACTTCCATGATATTGCAGGCATGTCCACCTGCTCTCATATTGGTTCATTTATCTTTTAGACTACCCCAGGAGTCCCAAAACACAGGGTGCACCTTAGGCAAACCGCAACCAACTACCATTGTCAAGAGTCTGGCCCTGTCCCATCCATACCTTTCCCTTTAATTTAAATTAGAACAGGTTAGTGACCTACCAGGTAGTGAAACCATGATCCATATAAAAGCCTGAGTTTGCACCTAAAAACAAGTTTGAAATGGTAGCTGCAGCAGTTCCTTTCTCACAGGATCATTTTATTAAGGTTCCCCTATCTGCATTCCTTTCATTCCAACCTCTTAGGGGTCTGTTTACACACCCCATGATGTAATTGTCTGACAAACAAAAATGGTAAAGAATGTTCCAGCAATTTCCTTTGATGAAAAGGCAGGTAGTTGACAGTGGAATGCTAATATTTTATTAGACAAAAAGACTTACCCAGTCTGCCAGGCTAAAATGTGGTGAGGGCTACTAGGAGGTGTGGCTGTTAGATCACTACAAGGCGTTGAACTTCTCTGACCATGGGGTAAGGCAGCTGTGATAGAAGCACAAACAAAAGTTAGGAGGTCAGACTATGCAGCTAATGTCATAACATGAAAGCAGATGTAGTCTAGCAATCACATTCCATTCAACATAAGTCACATTAAGGAAGGCTTTGATCTGAGAAGCAAATCCAAGGTTAGTGCAGACACAGTCATATAATGAACACGGGCACTTTTTAACAAAATTATACTTTTGGCTTTATTATAAGATAAAAAAATACACATGCATTTTGCTCATACGCAGTAGTATGGTAGATTATATAGTTATATGGATTAAGAGAAAAAACATATTATATTGTGATTAGGTTCTAGACTCCTTCCAATAAACTGCTTTTATTTGACAGTTTTCTTGTTTGGTAGCTTTACAAAAAAACCCCTCAAGGGTCACCATGCATGTTACAGTCTGACCGTACAATCAACTTTACATTTACCAAAACTATGTAAAATGAGGACCTACCTATATTATTCAACCAATTTGTATCCAACCTGGCAAGTCCTTGCACTACACGGTTGTTGGTAGACCTAAAGGAGATTGTACAATCATATTGTAACGTGTGTGGTTAGTTGTAGGGGCCCAGTATAGTCTTACAACAGGCATTCCACTGCTTTTAAAAAACAAAAAACCCAAAAATCTGCACATTTTAGTGAATGTTAAACAAATGTGACGGAAAAAAAAGGGAGAAAAAACACAGGATGAGGAGGAAAGCCTGGTCACATGACCTGACCTGTCATGTGACCAATCACGGAGTGTTCTCTGTAACATTATGCAGAGAATATCCAAGATAGAAACAACAAAAGCTCCACACAGCGACATGCATTTTATGAATAGAATGCAAACTCAGTGTGGAGGATTCGAGAGGAAAGTGGTATTCACACTCTGTTATAAAGGGGAGCCTCAGCATGCCCCCAGAAAGGAGCAGAAACCTAACAACTTCACACCCACTCTGTTCTGACCCTGTCAGTGTCAGAGACTTCAAACAGACTCATTATTATTCAGCTCTGTTCATCTCTATGATGAACAAAGTTTTTTGCAGGGCACAGTGCATGTCAGTGCAGATCCACAGATCTGCAGACCAAGAATGCATTTTTTTGGTACTCATCTTACTTCTAGGTCCCTCAGCTAGATTCATCACCCTTGTCTACCAAACAAGCAGTGTGGGGATACATAATCTACAATACAAAATCCTAGAATCTAAAAGGGAAAAAACAGCCAGGATTATGAGTGGGTAGGGCATAGCACTAAAAGTCTGCCATGCCATTTCAATGCTTCCTTGGGCAGCACAATATACAACTAGAACCACACATCTAATTCTTCCAGTCACCTTCTCACATTTCTTTTGCTCTGGTTTGCATACATAAGCCTTAGTGTGGTGCGTTAATGTTCTTTAAGGTGGCCTTGCGATTTCCAAGTCTGCTTTTTATTGCTCTTCTGATAAAATACTTAAGCAAGGTTTCTTATTATTATACATCCTGTTGTAAGATTGAAGTTGTTGGTCTAAAGGCTAAAAACAAAAAAAGAATGATATTTCCATTGCAGGGCCATGCACTTTGCTACTTTTTTTTATATAGAATTTAAACTGGAAATTCCACACTGATTAATAACTAATTTACAGCTCATTCTCTTAATTAGGACCATGACCCCTAAGTCTGACTTTACACATACCCTGCACTATTTTCTCAGTGATCTTAAAGACCAATTTCCTTACAGGAAACATGTGCTCTCTTTAAGGTAAAAGGGCACATCTGGAATGCTAGCATTGAGCATAAAATATAGTAATGGACAGATCGAAAACTATCCATCACAGGTTTAAATATAGAGACTGCTTCCACAGTCATTTGTTAAATGATGGCTGCAGTATTTAGTTAACCATTTGTTGCTGGACTAAGTGCTTTATTGTTCAAAGCAAGCTTTTGATTATCGCTCCTGAAAGTTCTTTTTCAAGCTTTAAATGTGTTAGTCCAAATAACTACAAAATATTTAAGAAATGACAAATCTGGGCATGAAAATATTTTTTTTAGAATACTTTTTTTTTTTAAAGTTTAAAAAAACCAACACAAAAATAGCGTGCAGAGGCAAGATCAGACCCCCCTCCAATAGAGCAACATCATACTTCTGGGGTAGTCACAATGCAAAGAAACATGTGTAAGTACAGAGTGCAGTACCGGTAACTGTGGGAACTT